TGCTTTATCCTATTTTTAGAAGCTTTTCTCTTCAGTGGCTACTGTAGCAGTTTCCTTTTGCAAGTTGGAGGCTTAACTGGGTGTGGTCTTGCCCTGGAGGCACTCTCTCCACTGTTTAAGTGCAAGTCTCTTTGCCCCTCCTAAGCCACTTTAATCTCTTTATCAATGGGATCCTCTCCAACACCTGCCTGGGCTCCAACATTACCTTCCTAGTGCTCTTTTTCAGTCCATCCTGTACATGCTGTATTCCTTTCTGCCTCATTTGCTCTTTTTCACTGTAAATCTGTATAATAGTCACCTTATAGTCATACCACCATTTCTCCATTATGCTGTCTTGAAATTTCTTCTGCCAGAGAAATTAGTCCATTGCTTTTCAACTTAGCCTCAGGCAAGCTTTTAGGCTATCTGCAGACTCCAGCCAGGCTCTTTGCCAAAATATTCCAGTCCCTGCTTAAGTCGTCTTTTCTCTCTGGAGCTACATTGTTCTCAGCACTTCTTTCTTCCAGGCTCCTGCTGGAATGGCCTGTTAAGCTCTGCTTACAGCAATCAATTGCTTTTCTAGTACAAGCTTCCAAACTCTTCCATATTCTTCCCAACCCCCACATGATCAGGTTCTTCACAGCCAATAGCCCGCTCTCTGGTACCAATTACTGTATTAGTTACTTTTCTGTTGCTGTTATAGAAACACTGACCAAAAGAACTTATAGAAGGAAGAATTTATTTGAGCCTACAGTTCCAGGGGAATTACAGTCCATCATGGCCAGGATGCATGGTGGCAGAGGTGGCTGGAGGAGGAGCAGAAGCTAGGCTCTACATCTTCAGACAGGCACAGGAAGCAAGGGAGCAGCTGGAGATCTGGCAAGGCTTAAGAACTCTCTAAGCCCACTCCCAGTGACATGCTTCCTCCAGGATAACCACACCTAAGAGCCCCCCTCTCTTGGGGTCCTTCTTTCCCTTTACCTCCATGGTTACTTTCCATTTTCCTGACTCCTGTGTTTACATCTCAAATATCTCCCATAGACTCTTGTGTTTGAATTACTGATTCCCAGCAAGTGATGGTGTTTGGAGGAAATGGAGAATCTTTGGGAAGTGGGACCTAGCTCCAGAAAGCAGTTCACTGGGTGTGGGTGGGGTTGGGTGATTACCAATACATTGTAAGCAGCCATATCTTGCCACCATGCCTGTCACTCAAAATCTTATCCACATGAACTCTTCATTCCTAAGCTGCTATCTGTTTGGCATTTGGTTGCAGTGGCTAGAGTAACTAATACACTTCTCTTGAACAAAAATTAAGAAAACTCAGTGAGGAGTATGCCCATCATTTGTTGGTTCATTTCTTGTTCTGACCTCACAAAGAGTCATTGTGAGGAATGGCTGATACCTGCCTATATGATGAGCTGGTTGGGCTGAGCTGTGTCCTTCTAGTGCAGAGAGCTGACTGGTGGTGATCTGCAGGACTCGGACGTTGGTGAATTTTTGGACTTTGACATTGGCGATTTTTTTGGACTTGGATTTTGGTGAATGCGTAGACTTGGACATTGGTGAAATTCTGGACTTGGATTTTGGTGACTTATCTTACTTGGACATAGCTTGCTCCTCGCCTTACTGGCTGTGGTTTGCAGGTAATGGTTTTGGTATTTTCATTTTATGTTTATGTTTTTGGTTTTACATCTTCCTTTTGGATGTTTTTAAATATTCTTCATTAATTATCCTCCACTTTTCTTTTTCAAACTACTCATTCTAGTCCTTTTGTACTTTTTGAAAGTTTTTATAAGTAAACATTAAGGGTAGAGTAAGGACTTCATGATGACATTTCCATACATGCAGAGAACGTACTTGCTAATATTCACGAGCTCTATTACACTTAAACTCCCTCCCCTTCCCCTTCCACATCCCGAATATTTCCCCTTTTACTTTCAAGAGCCCCCACACCCGGGATTCTGCATTTAAAACAGGTTGGCAATATTTGTCTTTGTGGGACTGGTTCATTACACAACGCAATGCATTTTTTCTGAATATGACAGCATTTCTTTCTTTCTATGACTGTGATTCTTTCCTTTGATTCTGTTCCCGTGCTGTCTTAGTCATCAGTTGGTGTATGTTGCAATCCTTGCCTGACTGGTTGAACCTATCTTCATCGTGAAGTATCGCCTTTTTATATGCTGTTGAATTTGGTATAAAGGATTAAGTACTCTCCTTTAAATTTTTAATCATGTGTATATGTCTGTTTGGGTGAGCGGGCAGATGTCTGAATGGGCCAGAGGTGTTGGATGCCCCAGGAGCTAGAGTTACAGGTGGTCGTGAGCTCCTCAACATGGTTGCTGGGAATTGAACTCAGGTCCTCTGGAACAGCAACAAGTGCTCTTAGCTTCTGAGCCATCTCTGCAGCTCACTACTAAGTACCCGTATGAAGGTTTGTTGCGTATTTGTTCTCCAGGGGTATTGGATACTTTTCTCTTATGAATATATCTTCATCTGGTTTTGGTACTGGGAAATAATGGGCTTCATAGGGAGAATTTAGAAGCACTCCTTCCCATTCTATCTAATGGGATATTTTGAGGAGCACTGATTTTAGTTCTTCTTTAAAAGTCTGCTGAAATCATCAGTGGTAATTGTGGTAATATCACCTCCTTTTGTCTCCATCATTATTAATTTGTGCCTTCTAGTTTTCTATTGATTATTTTTGCAAAGGTTGGTCAATTTCATTTATCCTTCAAAATCATCACATCTTTGTGTTGTGATTTTCCTTCCCGTTTCCTTAATTTCCACTCTGATCTTGATTATTTCTTCTACTTTTTTGGGTTTGGCTGATTCTTGTTCCTAGGACCCTAAAGTGCTTCATTGTGTTGTTTGGAGTCTCTCTCATTTTTTCAGTGCAGGGACTTATAGCTACAAATTTATGCCCTAGACCTGATTTTAATTCATTTTTAATCTTACATCACTAGTTGGTGTTGAAACTGACCATCTGACCTAACAAAAATGAGGAGGTATTTACTGAATCAAAACCCCAGTTCCGGCTCGGATGTTGAAAAGGCCTTAAATGAGCAGTATAAGATCATGAAGACCCTGGGCCACGGAAGCTTCGGGGAAGTAAAGCTTGCCAAACATCTCAGCACACGGACCAAAGTGGCCATAAAAATTCTTCAAAAGAGCAGGAGGAATGTCCACAGTAAATCAGAAATAGAAATTATGAAAGACCTTGATCACCCTTATATTATTAAGCTGCATCAAGTAATCGAAACCACAGATAACACCTACATGATTCTTGAGTATGTGGCAGGTGGAGACCTGATGAGCAGGGTTAAGAAGGCAGGCTATCTAAAAGAGAAGGTGTCTCGTAGGGTATTTAAACAGCTACTATGTGCCCTACACTATTGCCACAGCAAAGGGATTGCCCATCGGGACATAAAGCCAGAAAACATACTACTGGACAAACATGACAATGTTAAATTGAGTGATTTTGGGTTAAGTATCAAATTTACCCATGGGCAGTAGCTGACATCTTTCTGTGGCACAGTCCCCTACTGTGCCCCAGAACCCTTTGAGGGCAATGAGTACGACGGTCGTGCAAGCGATACTGGAGCTTGGGTGTTGTACTCTATTTCATGTCTACGGGGTACCTCCCTTTCCAAGGTTATACCTATGAAGAAACAAGGAGGAGAGTCCTAAAAGGCAAGTACCCCATGAAATTCAAGCTGTCGCCAGACCTTTGGGAAGTAATCACTAAATTGCTAACTGTAGACCCCAGAAAATGGCCAACAATAGGCGATATTGTGAACCTTTCATGGCTAGAGAACAGCAATGGAAGTTTTCTCAGAGAGAGAAACAGTGACAGCCAACTGGACCCCATTGGAATGGTGAGCATGAATGCCATGGGGTACAACCCACAGGAGATACACTTGCTTTCAAGGCAACAGTCACCCTGGAAGCCAGATGAAAACCTGAAATTTCTAGAGCTTCCCAGGATTCTACTGGGCCTCCAGGAGGCATCTAGTAGCCTTACCGGTCCCATCTTTTTGCCTGCTCTATCTCAACTTCTGGGTAGAAGCCTTAATATTCCCTGCCTACCCCATACTCAAAAAACCTCCATGCTGCATGGTCATGACACTCAGTGTACGAGCAGCAGCATCTGCGGGGAGACGGGGAGCAGCAGCATCTGCGGGGAGATGTGGAGCAGCAGCATCTGCGGGGAGATGTGGAGCAGCAGCATCTGCGGGGAGATGTGGAGCAGCAGCATCTGCGGGGAGATGTGGAGCAGCAGCATCTTTGCGGAGATGTGGAGCAGCAGCATCTGCGGGGAGATGTGGAGCACCACCTCTGAGTGTACATCATGCTCTGACCTTTCCTCAGCGTGTACACCATCAGCCATCTCAAAGCAGTCATCCCAGGATGTGGCCACAGCTGGCACTGACACCCAAAGAACAGCATGTCTCCACAGGATATGTCACCTCAGTTATCCTGGAAGGAATCCTTCTGTGTGTATACCAGCATGGGTGACAAACAGAGCAATTTATCATCCACCGAAATATCTCAGGAGCACATTGATGGGCAACCCCTGGAAGTTACCACTGTTGTCACTCCCACCTGTAAGAGCAGCACCTCCTCACAGCACACAGCACATCTCTTCACTAGGGAAGGAGCCCTGTGTGAGAACATCACCACTCATAACAGAGACAACAACTCATCCCCAACAGAAACACCTCAAGAGCATGTTAGCGGGCAGCTCCAGGACGTGACCAGAGCTGTCATTCCCAACTCAAAGAACAGCACATCCTCCCAGGATAGATCACTTCTCATCTCCAGGGAGGAAACTGAAATGGAGAACAGTACCAATCAATACAAAGACAGCAGCTCATTGGCCCCACAAAGCTCACCTGCCCCACAAAGCTCACCTGCCCCACAAAGCTCACCTCAGGAGCACTTCAGTCGTCAGCGCAAGGCTGTGCCTAGAGCCCCTCTAAGAAGGAGGATCTGGAAGGGCTTGAAGAAAAGAGTTACACACTGTTTAAGGAATTTGTGCTGCTGTTGCATGCCTGCCCAGGCGGGGCAGCATGTAGGAAAAAACAAAGCTGTAGACAGGGATGAGGACCAGGGAGACAGTGGCAAAAACAGGTAGGTGGAGTGGCTACAATGCACTTCTGCGTTTATGCTAATGTCCTTTTCTTTAAAAGAAAAACACTTCTGTGTTTGTTTGGTGTTGGGGGGGTGTGAGTGTGTGGTGTGTGTGTGTGTGTGTGGTGGTCAAAGGACAATTTGCAGGAGTCAAATTGGTTTCCTTAGAACCCACCATGTGGGCTCTAAGGAAAGAACTGTGGTCTCCAGCCCTGGCGGCAAGCATCTTCATTCACTGCACTACCTTGCTGGCCTAAATCATGTCTTTTTCAAAGTCACAAATAATAAATATACACACTTGTGAGGTAGGTAACAATATATCATCACCCCAAAAAGCAAATCCCATTGTAGTCATCCTTCTTCCCTGAGTCCTGAGGAACTTGAACTCCATGTAGGTAGCAGAGGATGGTGATCTGAGGACAGGGGAGGATGGGGGGAAAGGGTTGCTGGGAGTCAGCAGAGGATCACTGAGGAGGAATCAGCTTGAGGAACGATCCTAACACAGGGTCAGCACAATCAGGGATAAGTGAGTCCTGCCTATTTCCACTAAGAGACTCACTTTATCCTGTCTGTTTTCAAGTGATGTTGGAGCCACTGAGCTCCCTGGATGCTGAATCCAGACAGGAGAGCAGCCGGGAATGGATGTCTGCATCTACAGGTGAGAGCCAGGTAAGAATTGCAAGTTGCTGTGTGCCAGCAGGATGCTGTATCCACATAGCTAACTGAAAGGACAAAATGCCCTCATGTCTGCAGAGAAAAGAGGGAGGGGACAGCAACCTTCTCAGGGCACCTGGGACCCAGAGGAATGAAGGACGATTCTAGGATCGAGGTCTGAGTTCATGGTCCTCCTGACACTCGGCTGCAGGCGGCTCTAAGATGGGCAGTGGACCAGAATGGGTCCAGCCCAGTGAAGCCTTCTGCAGGGCTCACAAACTTTGAGGGCCTCCACAGAGTGCTGGTGATCATCAAGGAAACTATGGAGACCAACCCCCAAGGGCCTAAAGATGCCTAGGGAGATCAGCCCACCTCCAGCCTTCAGATGGGCTTCTGGGTCATTAAAGGAAACAGGAAGAAGACCACAGTGGCCTGACCTTTTGGACTGTGTGTTTGTGTGTGGTGTGTGTGTGTGTCCTTGGTGTAAGATTGCTGATCAGGCTGGAGACAGCAACAGAGGCCTGAGATGCAGGTGTGTCCATCAGGAGCCCAGGTGGGAAGGTAGAATGGACAGGGACAGATGAGTCCATTGACTGTGGTACAACCCTGGGGAGTGTTCTGGCTACTGGATAGTGCCCCTCCCCCAGATCCACAGACCTTAATAACTCCACAGTACCAGTCTCTTAACCTGTGTTTTTTTGCACCATGAGCCATCTGGACTGCAGTCCTCCATACTTTTTATATCTGGAACATACACACACACACACACACACACACACACACACACACACACACACACACACACACACACACACACACACACACACACACACACACACACACACACACACACACACACACACACACACACACACACACACACACACACACACACACACACACACACACACACACACACACACACACACACACACACACACACACACACACACACACACACACACACACACACACACACACACACACACACACACACACACACACACACACACACACACACACACACACACACACACACACACACACACGAGGGAGGGAGAGACAGGGAGAGACAGAGACAAGAGACAGAGACAAAGAGACAGAGACAGAGAGATTCCTCCCCATATTGCTTGTCCCAAGTTGACACTAGTGAAGATTTGTGGAAATGAAGAGGATTCGCATTTTGAAACCAGGTAATTTCTGTGGCCACCAGGGAGCAGCCACAGAGCCTGAAGGGATAACCACAGAACTGTTAATTAACCAGAACCAGGGCACTCCTGTGGCTTCTTCACACAGGGGTGCGACAACACCAGCAGGTCTGCTTTTATTTTCATGCTCTATTTTCATGCTCGTGGGAACTACCGCCAATGTTTGCAGAACACTGAACAATAATAAAGTGTCTGAACTATAACACTTCTGCTAAATATAATGAGCAAGACAGTGTTATCTCCATAACATGTATTCTCGGGAGATCAGCATGTCTCCTGAGAAACCAGGGGAGTACCGGCATTCCGGACATAGCTCCTCAGCAGGCATTCTTGCACAAACTTTCTCCTGAGACACAAGGCTCTCCAGACATAATGCTCGGAGTTCAGCTTAATTCACCAACATAATTTTAAAGCCATAGGAACACTTTGACAGTCCCTGCAAATTTCATATTTCATATGACTTCCCCTCTTGGAAATGCCTCCATGTCCCAACAACTCAGCTTGCTGCTGCCTCCTCTTACTACCCTGCTCCACTGCTTCACAACAGCCACATGAAGGTGGCATGTGCCGTGGTCCCGCTGTTCCCCAGTGTATCCAGACATGTGCAAGGTGAGGCCGACTGTCCTTTGATCAGAGCCAGGGTGAGATCTGAAGTGTTTGTCAGTTGAATTTAGGGAAGGAGCCGGTAAGAAGTATGGCAGAGGGCGGGGAACTGTGGATGGAAAACCACTGAGGTGCCTTCCTCTGACACTGAGGGCTTTTCTCCACATGGCCCATTGTTTCCTGCCACATTCCCACTTTTGAATAGACCCAGAGGCTCTGCAGTGGGGTCAAGGATGAATCAGATCCCTCCCCCTCCTAGACCCCACACTCTAGCATATCCTGCTTAGCTTATTTTCTGCAGTGTCTCCCATAAAGTAGTCTGACCTATTTTCCTTTCTGACACCTGAAGGTTGCTTTGTGGCCTCCAAGGCATGCTGGGGTCACCAGGGAAAGACACCTGGGACCACACTCAGCAAGGGACAAAGCCTCAGGCCAGTCTCACCTGGAGGGGCCAGGGGCAGGAGCTTCAACTTGAGCCCCAACACCCTGGATGGGAGATGGGTAAAGAGGTGATGTTCTGATGTTCTCTAGGTCAGATCATGGAAAAGGGGTGGTGGGTTACAGGGTGACAGACAACTGAATACTTTCTAATTTTTAATGAAAACCTTGGTTTTCAGATTTCCCAGAGGAAAGAAGGCCAGTACAAGGGCCTAAGTGGACAGCCTGAGAAGAGCACCATCTGCTGACCCTGAGAGCACGCAGCACCTCGCACTGACTCCTTTGTTGGGCACGGGTTGAGAGTGGTGGACAGGGCACTGGTTAGAGCTTGCCATCTTGCTGAGATACAACGGGCTGTATCTCAAATACTGCAGGGTCTTGTCTTTGTTTCTCTCCTACAGACCTCCAGAGACTGCTTACACACTAGCACGGACGCCCATCTGAGGGGAGTAGGATGGGGGAAAGATGTCGCTCTCCTCCGTACCTCCCTGGAGAATGGGTTTCTCTGCTGCCTTTGGCCTGAGAGGGAGGACCTGCAAAGGTGGGGGGCAGCAAGGTTAATCGGGGGAAGAAAGGACTTGACGCAGGCAGGGGGCCGTCAGGTCGCTCGATGAGGCCCCACCAGGTTACGATGTATGGGATCTGGTCCTGGTGGCCCGTACATGGGCAGAAGACATGGTCCTCTACTCTGGAAATCAGACTCAGGTTAAAAGTCCCTTCAGGGGGCCATCCTACATTGAAGGAGGGCCAATCAACCGAACATAAAGTTGTCCATTTCTTCTTCTTTACATCTGCACTATTGTTATGGGCAATCATCTTAACGTCTCCCCAGTGGACTAGAGTAAGATCCAGAGGGGAAGATGGGGTATTGCCCATAGTATTTATCAGTCCTGTCCATTTCATCAACAAAGTAATTAGAACAAAGGACACAAGACACAAGAACGACACGGACAAACAGAGGGCCCAGAATAAGCTGCCGTGGCTTTCAGATGATCTGGACTCTTGGCCATGTGAGTCCCCTGGCTTGATTATGCCAAAGACCATATGGATAGGACGTGCGTGTTCCAACAGGGTCGTGAGGCCCTCTGAGGTTTCAGATAGACTAGTGTCCTGGTGGGGTGTCCTATGAGGAGCACCCACCCCGACGAGGATGGGGATGTCTCCCGTATCCTCCAGGTCACCTTGCTAGCATTTCAGTGACAAAAAACTGAGATCAGATGGCCACGACTGAAGGGAAAGTATAAAAAAGGGAAAGTATAGAAAAGACAGGCGGACAAACACAGCATTACAAAAACTTACCTGGCCCATTGATCACAAACATTTTGGGGTCGGTTCCTCTCGGAGGTCTCTAGGGGGATCCTGGACGAGACCGCAAATGTTGTACCCCATCCACTGGGCCCCAAAAAGACCACCGAGGACCCAACACACCAAAATGCAAAAGTAAAGGTTTATGGTTTATTCGGGCTTAAGCTCAGGCTCTCAGACCTCACCAACTCAACAGATCTGTGCTGAGAGCCCAGAGTAAGGGAGAGTGGAGCCTTTTATAGGTTTTAGACAAAGGGGGGGAGGAGATACAGAAGATACATTTTGGTTGGTTCAAGGAGCACGT